ACAGCTTTATGGGGGAAAAAAATTCAAATTTTGAAGACAATTAAAAAAGTGCAAACCAAAAATAGTGCTACAACTGTCTAAGGCACATATTCATTTTCTTACTGTTTATTAGCCTCTGGGGACCCTGAATGCACATATACACATACACCTATTTGTACAGCTTTATGACAAAACATTCTGAGTTTTATAAAAGTGTGAAAAGTCAACCAAAAAAATAAATAAACTGCTGCATGAAAAAGCAAGGTCGCCTTCAAATCATCCTCTGGGGACTTTCTGAACACATCCCCCCTGTCCTAAAGCTGTGTTATTGTTATTAGTGAGATACCAAACTGAGCATAATTCTTTTTAACCTCTACTGTATATAATACAGCATCTGTACATTTCAAGCCTACAGCCATCTTTTATAACTGACATATACAGCTTATTATGGGTCAGATCGCTATCTCCTATCTAAATGTCTTCGTGTGCAAACATGCCTACATCAGTGTGATGGATGAGCTGCTTGAAGGTAATAAAGTTGAAGTCAAGTCAGAAAAAATGGTCTCATTTTTCTCTGAAATTACCCTTTAGCAGTCGGCTCTGGAGGCTTCTTGAGATTGATGTTTACACAGTTGCCTCTAACTTTTCAATGCTTCCATACAATACTACATTTTGCATGTAGTGTATCTTTTGTCAGGAAATTGTGATTGACGTCTGCTGTCTGTGGTAAACTACTTCTCAGCATTTGCTTCCTAAAGGCCAAAAGGAAATGAAAAGCCCCAGAGTGCACCTGTGAACCAACCACTTCCTCTTCTCTGTTCTTCTCCTTCTCTCTATCACAGATACTCCTTCACCACAGACTTCCTGCAGAGACAAAGTTTTCATATAAAACGTCATATTCATCTTCTCGGTTTCTCTTGGTGCGAGAGATGCAGATAATTTATTCCTCCGGTGTTCAAACCTCAAAAAAAAATCCTTCAGCGAGAAAAATAAATCATTTATCCAAGTACCGAGGTGAAAATCTTTTACTTTTATGGCTTCTGTGTTTTGGTTGCTTGGTTTTTATATGTTTTTACATAGCAGAAATGTTTCACTTGTCTTTTTGTAATTGAACAACCTTTGAGAAAAAGGTATATTCAAGCTTAATTTAAAAAAAGAGATGGATGGCTTAACAGTTCCAAAAAAGTGAAACCACAATATATGGACGTCTCTTCACTGACTGTCTGTAGAGGAAGTCAAAGAGCCTGACCCTCCATGTTAACAGGTGGAACATGGGTCAAACCTTAAAATCAAAATACATGTCCAACATTTTTTTCTCAACCATGATTTCTGCCATGATTGTAATTGCTGTTGCCAATCTGGACCGGTCCGCTCTACTTGTCCCAGTTTACGAAAATTACTGACAGAAATCTGTCAGCCTCTACTATGGTAGGTGGTGACATCCCCTTTAAGCTTGTTTCTGTGAGATCGTCTCACAGTTGACCTGTTACGATCAAAATAATCAACAATAATAATCAATCAAATTGCGTTAGCAAGAGGCTAACATGGTGTACATCTAACGGTGACACCAAAACATTGTCACTTTCACTTTTTTTTCACAAAGATTCACCTTCTTTGTATGTTTATTTACTACCAGGCATTATAGCAAAACATCCATGCTATTCAGATCCCAGCATTTTCAGACTGCTTAGGCCCGTTTCAGTCTGACTGAGCCGTATTATACACGACAGTGGAAATCACCCTCCAGTTGTATTTATCAGGTATGTTAGTCTAAGATTTAGTGCGATTTCAGTAGACTAATGTTAACATGATGTTACTTTAGTTTGCATCATACTAAACTAAAATGCATTTCTAAAACACTCCCTTTAGTTTTCAGAAACTGGCTGGCTCTTTTACAGTGTTTTTTTTTCTGGTGTCCACTGTGAATTTCATGCCTCTAGTGATCAGTAACATGTAAGTGAAGAGAGGTGAACTGAACTTTTTCTAACTGAAGACCCACTGTGACAAGTCTTCATCACGTCTTCTGACCTGGGTCACATGCACTATTTGACTGATACTTTACGTGCTGGCTGATGTATTCAAAGGGCGCTGACCGTGGAGGGAAGACAATGGGCTTAATGACTGCACAGACAACTCTAACACACCACACAGGATTAAGGAAGGGCCAGAGGGGCGGAGGGGGTGCACACCAAAACACACACAGTACTCTAAACAACAAGAGAGGATTAGGAGTTGAATGTTGAACAATAAACCGACTGTAAGTCCTGGTCAGGGAGCTGACAAAACACACAGGGATCATGCTGTTCAGGCCTCATTGTCTGCTGGTGAACCCTCAGATATGACTGTATGTAGAGCCCATTTAACACACAGATTAGAGAGTTATTAGGAAACTAGGGCACAGCCCTAATTGACTATTATGCATCAGAACCAGCGAGACCTTATATGACTACAATACCAGTTTGTTGTGAGAAAAGAAAAGGGCTGTCAGTACAGACTAAAGGAAAGATTTCCCAGAAGTTTAGAAGGTTACTCCAGAGACAGTTGAAGGCTTTTGTGTCAAAATCTAATGTATTTGAAAGTGGTGTTCTTACATCTGTAAAACTAATTATATGAGCTATTTTCAAAGTTTTGGGAGGTGCTTGAATATTGTTTCGTCCTACCGATCACATTTCATTCATCTGTGTTTTTTGGACACAGATCAAAACACACTTGGTTGAGGATGATCATGACTTGTTCAAAATTGATAATGCTGGTCAGGGTTTTGCTAATTACAAAGAGATCAAAAGTTAAGTTCCCCAAATCAACTGTCTTTATACAACCCCTCTAATGAAAAAAACTTAAAAGCATTAGTGAGGAACTTTTTCGTTGTGTTAATTCTGGGGCCCCTGTAGACAAATGGGTACTGCACTTATCCAGCTGATTTTGATCCCAACGCTGTATATACTCTGGACAACTTGGCTCCGCCTTCCGTCACTATATGAATTTGAAGCCAAATTGCTCTCATTATTTCTGGGATATTTTCCACTTCCTAGAACCACATTGTACACATTCCACCACTTGCGCAGTAGTGTTGTGCGCTATGTACATACGGTCTATGTTTTGACCTGTACATACATTTTCTAACAAAGAATCTCACTCTGGTTTATTTAGATAATCATCTCAAATTTTTGTCTTAAAAAAAAGGCTGTGTTGGTAGTTTGCAAGTAATCGCTTCATCTGACACCAACCACCTGCCAGAGATTCCGACAACAAAAATACCTATGTTAAAATAATCAATTATTTTTGTGGGTCATATAATGGCATCAGCATAAATGTCGGTCTATTTTGAAGCTGGCTAAAAACTTCTTGCAGTAGCTTTAAATGAGGTCCTACATTCCAGATTTAGGGAGTTTTTTTGAAACACTTGGGTGCCTTTGGAGAAAGTACCCTGCACTCTGGGGGCTTGTGCTGAACTATCTCAAACCTCTGCTAAGCCTTCCTTTAGAAAACATCTTTTCTACCCAAGAAACATTCCAGCGTGATGACATAACCACCTCTAGGACTGGGCTGTCACACACTTCGCTCACAAACAATGACCACTCCACAATCACTGCAACCTGCAATGCTCATATTAGAGTGATACATCTCATTATCCACATGCAGAAACGTTGCCTTCAAAATTGAGAATTTGAGCGGGAAACACAACGACTGTGGAGACTGTCCAGGCACTGATTAATGTGTAAAAATAACAAATGAGTAGGTGCAAAGCCTGGAATAACCTCTGAGAGAGGGGCGTTGGTCAGCCAGTGGGCCTTACAAATGACTTCAACAATGTGTCACTGAAAAGGTATCCAGGAGACAGGCTGGAGCCAACGCTACAGCCATGTAAAAGAGAGCTTGTGTGAGACTAAGAAAGAAGTGGATCTATTGCCCAATCACAATAGGCAAGAAAACCCAAGGTATTTCATAACAGCAAGGAAAAGACAGAAAGGTTTCATAACAGGTGTAACAAGTATTACTGAAAGTTTAGCCTTTATTACGTAATAATAATAATAATAATAATTATAATTATAATCATGCATCAGATTTTTATAGCGCTTTTTGTCAGTGACCTCAAAGTCACACCCTGGTGGTGGTAAACCGCCGTAGTAGTCTCAGCTGCCCTGGGTTGCACCTACAGCCTCTCCGACCACCACCACACAACACTCAAAATCATACACCAGTGGAGGACACACACTGGGAGCAAGGACTAATAAGAAGAGACTGATGAGCTTTGATTCTGTAAATGACAAAATAGATAATATCCAAAAAAAAAAGATGTGTGTAAGACAAGCTTAAGTTCAACAAGTGGCGTTCAATACTTTTGTTGATAAGAGAACGATCTTTTATGTCTGAAAAAGTTGGAAAACTCCCATTGTAACAGTCAGGTTTGTGCTGCTTTTTTAATTTCAAATACTGATTAAAACATATCACACATTTGAAATGATGAAGCATGAATAAAAACTTTAACTACTTTACACCTTCTACTTTAATTTTTCTAGACTAAGTGGAGATATGTCTGATTAAACTTGCCTGGAAATAACTGAAATAAGCGGTTATATCAGACTGTCAATTTCTTTGGCTCCATTTGTTAAAGTTGAACCCTGATGTAGGTCATTGGAAAAGGTGCCAAAAATATGGGCTGATATAACAGCATGTATAATCATTCGGCAATTACAAGTTAATAAAATGTTCCACACAGTTTCCAGGTGATCGTTTATCACTACAAGGCCTCAGTCTATCAAAAGGCTAAGAAATCAAAATCTGAATGAAGGCAGCGAGACACAAATCTTTCCATTTCCTCAGAGTAAGCAGTGAATTAGTGCTGTCCTCCTCCCGCCAAATGGAGCTAAATTTACACATATCCAAAAGGAAATATGCTAAAGCTGAAGTCAAAAGGGGCTGTTTGTCCAGGTCGAAGTCACGTTGCAGTTCAACGTGACTACAGGGTGTGGGCTGGGGGCCAAAACAGAACGTGATGCAAGCACAACACGAGAATGTGTGTCACATTTACAGGAGAAGGGAAATGGCCGCCAGTGCCAAGATATTTGACCTACTTTTAGACTCTCTGGAGGAGAAGTGAGGCACAAGGGCGCTGCAGAGGAGAGAGGCAACAGGTCTAGAGCAGAAGAGCAGAGACTACAACGGGGATTTTTAGCTTCATGTTAACAGGGTAAGAAACAGTTTTTGGTCATTATTAACGCTTTTATTAACATGCATTGCGTAAAACTGCATTAAGTGCGCCAAAAACTCTTTTTGTCCGCATGCATTTTCCACACTTTCACGCACCATTCTGCAGAATGCGGTTGCTGTTGTCCGTGTTGCGTTTACTGCCTTAAGACTTAATGGTTAGATTGTTTACCTTCTGGCTCCACTCCAACAATGACTGTTTTGATGGAACCACGTGACCTAACTCCTATAGTAGTCCTCCCTCCCCCGTCTCTCCTAAGTCCTTAACAAACAAGTAGCTGCTGATAAGACGACGAGAAAAGTCCACAGTGGGTAGTGTCTGTTGAAAGTGTTTCAACGTGACAGTGTTTGTTTCCACGCGACTGTCAGCAGTAACCTCAGCTCGTGTGGCTGGAGAAGTTTGGTTTGCGGAGTTTGCGGACGAACAGCCGCCTCGTAAAAGTGAACTTTTTAAGACCTTTTGACAGACGGACGCTGATGGTGAGGAACAAACAGCTCTTACTTGGTTTGTCATGTCATGAAATTGCTAAGCAGCCTATTGCGTTTGTATTTATTTTCTGTGTTTTCAGCCGCTAGTTTGGTTGTATAATAGATTTGTTTTCGGTGAAGTTAAGATACAGCTTGAAAACTTTTCACCGCATTGTTTGCCCTCAACACGCATGTTAAACTTTGTCACCACTTAAGATGTCGTGAATGCTGTTTTGCCTTAAATATTTACTCAATAATTCCTCCTGAGTGTGTGTCCTGTGTAATATTAAGTGCGTAGTGATTTGACATGATGCGCCCGTTTGTGTGTCGCATCTCATTGACCCACATCCGCGCCTCTGAAGCGGATTTTCACTGCGTCACAAAGTTTCTCTCCTAAACTTTGGCTGTTTTTCGTGTCTTTAAGTCAAACTTTTGCGTGTGCTTTGGTTACTTTTACATTGCTGAGAGTTCCTGGTGCCAATAAAGTTAGTGGTTGTCTGTTTGCAGTCGTGTTTTAAGAGAAAAGGTGTTTTTTTATGAAGGGGTTCCTCGATGTTTTTCTGCTAGTGGGGAAAGGAAACCTGATCTGCATACCGCGCCCACTTCATTTTCGACGCAAACAACTTTCGCTTGATTCAAGCGGGATAAATGAAGGCAATTAAAGTTGTGAGTTCAGTCTTTTAGGATTTTTTCCGCCTAAAAAGGAGGAAACAATTTGATTAATAAAGTTGTGCGGGTTCAATCTGTCATTGAAAGTAATTGGAGTTAAGTGCACTTAAGGAAATGTTCACATTGAAGCCTGCTGTGGTTGTGAACACATGGTTTTGAACGTAGTACAAGGACATGGTAAAATTATAGGCTACTTGACCAGAGTAATTCTTCATCTTTGCTCGTTTTTATCACTTTAAGTGTCAAACAATTGCACAACCCCCTCCCCATTGCCCCCTCTTCCCTTCATGGCTATTTTTGACTGTGACTTCTGTCTTTAGGCTCATTTTGAGGCATATGGAAAATTGTCAAATGTCATCACATCTCCACTTTTCTTATACTATTTCCCCCCACATTTTTTATACAAATCCACTCATGCATCCAACCTCTACTAAAGAAACTTCTTTCTAGGTGCTTCAGATGTTTTTGTATTATATGTGACATTATAACCTCAATGGGACCCTATTGAAAGCAATTTTGACTTTTTTGGCAGAGCCACATTAACCCTTAGTGGGACTCCCGCGTATTTCACTACACCATGCCCCACCCCTACTTGACCTAAAATTTTCAGTTGATAATTGGACTACAAACCATTTTTGAAGTGAATGCACAGTTTTAGTCCAAATATTGAATTAATATTTACCCTTTTAGACACAAGGTCTAATGGTCAAAATGCTGGTGAGGGCCAATGCAGATTGAATAACTTGGTCATTTGATGATTTTTTTTTATAACGATGCAATTTGTTGTTCATGTCAGTGTAAAAAACCCCAGAATGAAGTCAGATTAAACCGAAGAATTAAGGATCAGAGAACCTCGACATTCTAGACCTTGTCCAGTATTATTATCAATAGCTAACCACACGATCTTTCAGCTGTCGTACCAATCAACTTTCACGGCCACTGAGCAGAAAGTGTTTGTGGGAGCCGAATGAGACTTCAAGAGTCAGCAGGGTGTGGTTATTATCCACCCGCATGCCAAATTTAACACCTCTAAATGAACAGAATGTGCAGTTTAGAGCTGAAATCAGATAGAGCTGAAATAGATTGCCAAAATTCAACAGCGCTGCTCTAATTAAACATGGCACATAGCAGCTGGGTGGTGTGATAATCATTTCTATTCTCTACGTGACCTTCTAACCTTATCTGGTGACCTTTGACAGACAGACACCAGAGCAGGTGGAGACTCACTTTCCCTTTGACATGACGGGGTGTGTGTGAATTTTGTTGGAGATTTATTTGGTCCTGGTTCAGTTACCTGGTTCTGCAGTAATTATTCAGCGGGTAAGGGCACATGTGTGTTCCATCACATAAAGAACAGAGGCCCCAAGAGGGCAGATACTGCTAGTAGATGTTGGGTCTTTGAGCTCTTAATAGCTTGTATGTTCGTATGTAATCCATGCCCATAAAATCCAGATCACACCTCATTGAAACTCTGCAAGCCTAACAGAGCCAGATCAGCCTCTGGCCTTCTTCTAACACTGTGTTTGTTCTCCACCAGGGACGGAGAAATGGCTTCTCCATCAACATCAACAGCAGGACAAGCTCCAGAATCTAACATGGAGCTCTCACACCTGGGAGGCATTGATGCTTTGAACCTGAAGGTGGGGCCTGTGCGGAGGAACCTTTTTGGGCCTGTGGACCACCAGCAGCTGCAAAAGGACTTCCAGAGGCTCCTTTGCATGAGTGTAGAGGTAGCCAACAAGCGCTGGAACTTTGATTTCCAGAGTGAAATGCCAGGAAAGGGATCCAGTATGGAGTGGGAGGAGCTACGGTGCCAGGATGTGCCGGCGTTTTATCGCAGCTGTACGGTTAAACCAGTAGGGCATCCGATCGGCAAAAGACGGATGTCCTCTTCATCACGGGAGGGATCCTCAGAGTCTAGCAGCTCTTCGGGGTCTGGAGATGAGTACTTGGAGGTGACCACCAGAGGGTGCTATAGGATCAAATTACATGGAAAACGCAGACAGTCCTCCATCACAGGTTGGTTGAGCAGACATCATGATTGAAGGTGTAAAAAGACACCATCTAAATATTTGTTGAGTGAATATTTAAGTTTCAGATTTCTAAAACAAACAAGAGAAAACCAGATGAGCACTGAACTTTACCAGTGAAAGCTGTGATTCTCTTCTTTTGCTTAAACTGTATTATAACCGACTGGACTTTGTCTTTTTCTCTCACCAGATTTCTTCAAGGTGAAGAAAAGGAAGCAGCTGCATCACAAAGGACTGTCCCGGCAGTAGGAAAGTAAACCTACAACCAGCAGAGGATCATTTGGTGGTCCATAGCCCTCCTGATGTCACCTCATATAGATATGGTTCATATCAGATGTATATATGTAGCATTTTCTAACTGACTGTACACAAGCTCGTGCAACACGGGCTTAAAAACTCTTCCAACATCACATACCTTTGTCTCTCAGCACAAGGAAGCTACAGCAGCCCTAGCTAACAATGCTCAGATGTCAGAAACGGTTTCTATAGTGACTATATCTTTATATCTACTCTGTATATGCTATATACTGTTATCCTCAGCTTTTGACTATACTGTGAAATCATTTTGAATGCACTCTTAATACCAGAGAACAGGCTCTAGTTTTAAGAGGTTAATTTTCTTTCGTACAGACCTTGGATAGTATTTGACCTCAGCCTCTGATCTTTGGTCTCCCTCATGCTAAAACTCATTAGAGGTTTTTCTAGATAAGATGAGTTACTATTCCCGGCCTCACAAAACACTTAGCCTTTAGTCTCACACCACGACTCGGAAAGCACGAGTCAAGCCAGGGGTCAAAACCTCACCCAGGGCTCAAAATTTGGCAGCGTGACTGTGATTAGCACCAGGTTAAAGGTCAACGGTGGAGGCTCAGCAGCGAGGTGTTGTGTCCGTGTTTGATAGTGACGTAAATACTGAGTGATGATAATAATAATGGTGTTTCTTATGTGAGTATTTATTTATTATTCACGGTGCTAGATCACCGTCAAAAAAAAAAAAAAAATAGACAAGCAATGCGCAAAACGAGGTAATATAAGGTGTTTGTGAAAACCTGTGCCATTGCCCCTTCATTATGCGTTAGACTAAAAGTCATTATGGCTTATACTCACTCCACCGTTGCCACTCAAAAATAATGACCATAAATATTGAACATCATTTAACATAGCAAAAAAAAAACTGTTCCAACTTTTTTTCCATTTTTGCTTTGTATTATTTGCATAATGGGGTTGTAAACATCTCTATGTTGTCTAGGCAACAGACCAGAACATACCTTATTTAGCTGTATGTTTTTATATTTGCTTGTAATAATGTAGCATTTCCATCCTTTTTCCCCTCATATCCTGTCATCTTTCCTTCATGAAGGGAATCTTTCTCTCTGCTGCAGCTCAGCAGAATAAAGCCGTTTGGTTTTACTGTTGCTAATTTGATTTTTTTTTTTTTTAATGAAGAGTGGAGCTGCTTCACACTGTTTCTGTCGCTGTGCAGTCCTTATAAGTGTTTGCATTATGTATGCATAGAAGTGTTTTTGTATGAATGGTTTGTTTATTTTTTGCCTTTTATCGCAAGTTGTAAAAGTTGCGGCAGTTGAACCAAAGGAAAATTGCTGTGCCGTTCGATTAGACACACAATAATAATACAAGTGCCTCATTGTCTGAGTTATCAGATGAGGGTCATAAAAGTCTGAAGCATGCTCAGGTCTTCAAATCCAAGATTTATCATACTGATAAAGCGACAGCTCAGCGGTTCAAATAGAGCATGAATACCTACTTTATCCTACCTACAGTGATTCTAACTTTTGAATGGATTAAAGCCATAATCTACGTTAATCCATCCTTACTACCTCATTGTGTAAAAGTAATAAATGATAGAAAAAGATTTTTTTTAAAAAAGAAAAAGAAATGTAGCTCAGGTTTGTGTCTGCAAATGAAAGAGAGGCAGAAAGACTGAAAAAAAGGGGCAAAGATATTCTTCTGTTGTGGTAAAAACTGTCGAGGCTCAGCGCTCTGTGTCGAGTTTCCCATCAGGTAAAAGAGTCAGTGTGTCAGAGCAGAGGAAACTCCAGTCCCAAGAGGGCTGGGTGGGGGGCTTTTGTTGTTTATCCCCTTCCCTCTCTTTGCTTTCCCAGAAGTAGGCAGAGCGAGGGAACAGAGGGAGAGGGGGGAGGATGAGGACAAGGGAGAAACTTTTATTAGTGAACGCTGAAGAGCAAATGTCTCAGAGCTCCTCTGGATCAAAGGATTCTCCAGCCAGACGAGCGGCCCGTGATTCAGACATGCTTTTGTCTGCCCCCTTGAAAGTCTCTCAGCCTCTCTTTCATGAACAAGCCGCCTCAGTCTGTGCGTAAAATCGGCATGAAAGCTGTTGTTCATAATCACGTTAACACAATGTCGCTGTCTTAAAAAGGCAGACTTCAAAACAGCAAACATGGCCGTTTGAAATTGTCTCTACTTTGCTTGTTTGTCCACCTATCCATGTTTTTGTGTGTGTGTGTGTGCTAGTGTGCCTATATCTCTTCAGCCTGCTAAGAGGAAACTTTAAAAGTCTATATTAACTTATTTTTACTTTAAGTCATTTGTTGTGGGGATATAATTAGAAATTCCTCATTATTTGCTTTAAATTACTAATTTTTGTTAAAATATATCTTTGCACTACTTTAAACATTGTGGACAAGAGAACTATTTTTGTATGGTTATCTAAAAAAATAACTTACAAAATTCTACAAAAAACTTTGACACAGACTTTAAATTTCTTGACGTTTGAAATCATTCACCTCTCTTTTTACCTCCAGTTAGGCATGCTGAGCAGTTTCTTCTATCTGTTCACTGTTTTTTTTTACCGGTTTGTTAGTCATCCTCAAGTTCACACAGAGGAAATAAAACTAAAATAATAAATGCCAAGAGTTTTCAGTGTGTGTCTCGCTGTTCCCAAGCAAACTTGGCTTTTTAGTTCAGCTGTCGCAGCTATCTGAAAGTGTAGCGTTTGTTTATGTACTTTGTATATGCATGAATGTACAATAATCTTTGTACACTGTTCTAATTGTGTTGTAATTTAAAGCTGGTATATGTATCTGTGTATTTCTATTGGACCAGAATTATATCCTTTTGGACAACATTTGTATAGAAAATGTGTCTGGGTTGTTGGTGCACTGTTGCCTTTCATTTTGCTGATTTCATAGAGTGCTCAAAATAAATGTTAATAAGATTGATATAAACCACAAAATACTGGCCTCGTGTTTTTAGTTTGTTTTGATCTGATTTTAAGAGCTTCAAAAATACATTCATGAAGAAGTAGCGAAAGTTGAAACTGGATTTTTCTTTAAGGGAAGTAGCACCCCCTGGTGGTTACTAAGGCGCACTTCACAACATCAACCACCAAAGTGAAATCCATGATCTACTTTTGATGTTCTGAAGATGAAATGAAATTTTGTCAAATAAAAATGTAGTTACTACATTAATATATACATATATAGCTCACCATACATGGGGGGTTCCACCCCTAGTCCAGAGGGTTAATGAGCATCAGAGCCACCATCCAATATCAAACGTCCAAGCTCCATGATTATGTCAGGAAGATGGCCCCAAGAGATGGCGCGCTTTGTGAGAGTCTCAAATGGAAACTGACAGGTAAGGAGGAACCAGAGGAACCATCATGGGAGGAAAACCCCCTGCATGGGATGTACCACCGACAGATAGCTGAAGTGACTGATATGAGCAAATCCTACCGATGGCCAGAGAGGGCTGGACTGAACAGAGGCACTTATCATGGCAGCACAAGAACAGGCCTTGAGCACCAGAGCAATAGAGGCCCAGATCTACCATACCAGGCAAGATTCCAGGTGCAGGCTGTGTAAAGAGGGCCCTGAAATAGTCCAACACCTAACAGCAGGATGTGAGATGCTGGCAGGAAAAGCACACATGGAACGCCATAACCAAGTAGCCGGTATTGTGTACAGGAACATCTGTGCGGAATGTGAACTGGAAACCCCGTTGAAAATCGAAATGGAAAGCACCTCCAAAGATGATAGAGAATGACCGAGCCAACTTCCTGTGGGACTTCCAGATACAGACCGAAAAATGTTAATGGCCAACCAACCGGACATTGTGATCATAGACAAACAGCAGAGGAAGCCGTTTTGGTAGACGTCGCCATCCAAAGCGATAACAACATCAGGAAGAAGGAACACGAGAAGCTAGAGAAGTACCAAGGGCTCAAAGAGGAGTTAGAGAAAGCCTGGAAGGTGAAGGCCACAGCAGTGCCTGTTGTCTTCGGAGCACTCGTGGCAGTAACCCCCACACTGGAGAAGTGGCTCCAACAGATCCCTGGGGAAACATCCGACATCTCACTCCAGATAAATGCAGTTTTAAGAAACAGCTAAGATACTGCGCAGGACCCGCAAGCTCCCAGGCCTCTAGTAGAGGACCTGAGCTTGAAGAGACACAAGACGGCCCAGGGTGGGCGAGGGAGAGACTTATTTTATATATATATGAAATATCTTAAACAGAAAGCTCCAAATTGTGCAAAATGTATTTTTTGTTTATTTAAAATGAAATATACATTAGTTAAGACATTATTACACATGAACAAAAATGATAAACAAAATTCACCACAGATAGTTTTAAACACTCACATAAATTTCAGTTTACATTCTATAACATTTTTTTAAAGACACAAACAGTTTCAGCTCTTCTCCTCTGGGTTTGATGTGAAAAGTGCTCAAAAGCACTTCACCTGGTGAGTCCGGAATCTACAGCACACTTTTGTAGACTGGTGACTGAGGCTGGAAATTTCATAACCGCTAACCTTGTTTCTGATTTAAAACTCAAACGTCTTCCCAAAAATATGAACCGGTCAACAAACAAAGAGTTAAGTAAAATAGGAAACCTACCCAAACCTTGTCTGGTGCAGGGTAACTGTTTAAGAATCATTGTCTGACCCTGATCAATAGTGATTACAGAGTTTCTGCTCTTGTATGTTTTGTTAAAAATAGTTTTTTGTTAATAATTCATAGTCCAGCTGCCCCAACAATCAAATGTGCAAACCTGCAACAAACAGTTAAAACTTCTCTTCCGAAAAGTCACTTTCAACACGAGTCTTTTAGATAGTAAACTAAAGGTCTGAGATGACAGTAAGAGATTGTCGGTCAGTGTGTGAAGGTTTACAAAGAGATTTATCAGTTAAGACACTTAAATATGAAGTGTAAACGTTCCCACAAACAGGAAGTGAAAAAGGAATGGTGAGCACATGTCCAAAAAGGGGAAAGACACGTACTGAATCAAGAGAAAAAGTACCCATCATAAAAATACTCTACAGTAAAGTTAGTAAACCTGAAATCAGATTGAAATCAAGTGGCTGTCAGATTTAAGTCTCCCAAACCTTGCCTAAGATTGAAGTGGTTCAGTATCATCCTCAAGACCTTGCCTAATCACAAGAACTACATTACTATAGTGCAATATTACCTCACCTAAAGTATCATACATATCTACAAAAGCCTAAAAGGCTCAAAAAGATGAAATCTTACATTACAATTATTCACATTCTTAAGGTAATTCCAGCCCCTGAATAAACTCAGAGAAACATGATCTTTAAGTTGAGAACTCCTCTTTTAAGGGGACAAGGATTGATTCAAGTTGACTCAACAGCATCTTAAAAAATTACATCCATTCAAATCTTAAAATATATACAGTAGTACATTCTGTGACGGCCTCACAAGGCCTGAATCCACAGACTGGTTCCCTTTAAAAGCCTGATTTAGTCAGGCACTGAGAGTGTGCACGTACAGTTAAGAGGTTAGTGAGCGGAAAAGACTCTCAGCCTGCTAACACACACACACACACACACACGCACGCACGCACGCACGCACGCACACACACACACGCACAGATGTTTGTGGGAGTTTTAACAGGTGCCTCTCCAACTTCAGCCCCCCTCAACTCTTATCGTGGAGAAAAATATCATCCACCAAATCGTTCCACGTCTAAAAAGTCTCCTATAAGCTGCCTGGCTGATAACACCAGATACATCATACCAGGAAGATGCTGAGCCACTTTCACAGCTGTCGACGAAGAGCATGTCTGTCTCTCCACATGGCCCGGACCTCTTTGATGAGCAAGGGAGTGATGAAGACAATGCTGCCCCCTGTCTGTAAGATAAATACACAAGAATGAGAGTCAAAGATGGGTAATGGTTCAGCTATATCTACAACAAAGATACATAGGGAAAAAAGGCACAACCTACAGCATGTGAGGAAAACTTTTATATTACTCAAACTGACATTCCCACTTTTATTTATATCTTTCAGGCTCTCATGATGCTCTGTAGCAGCAGGTTTTAAAATAGAACTAAACAGGGTAAAAAGCATCCCCCTCAGCTCATCACATGAGCAGCTCCTGATACTTGTATAACAGATGAGGCAGAAGAGCACAAATATAATGGCATTTTAATTAACAGGATATCAAAAGATTCTTTTGTAAGGTAAGAAGATGAACTTTTTTTTATCCCTGAGGGGAAAAGCATGTCAACAAGCAAGCAGAACTATATTTCCTATCGCCACATGTAAATGAAGTTGTATCTGATCTAAATTTATCTAATCTAATGTCTAATTTGGCTCAAAAGGCCAGCTTCATGAAAACCAGCTGCTCTCAGGAGGACTTCTTACCATGACGATGAAGAAGTAGAACACACGCATCCAACCCAGCTTACTCTCTATTAGTGACACCAGGTACTAGAGGGAAATAGAGATATGACAGTCAAATGATGATCTCTTAGGTATGACCACAGTGGTGCATAATGATGTGTAAAGTCAGACCTAAAATCCACTCATTAATTATTACCTGTCACTGAAATTGATTAGCTAACCATTGAGAAATTCATTTCAGTTAGAAACATCAAATATTCTTCAGCTCTGAGCTTTTACACTTCCTGCCTCTCAATTCAGCGCTGTGGAACTCTTGCAATTTTGATCAGAAATATGTTAAAAACATGCAAATAAAAGCTAGTGAGTACATAAAAACACATGCTTTTAATAGTTTCGATTAAAATCTCTATTATGAATTAACTTCAGTAAATGTTTTTTGATTTGTGTTCACCTGTCCTCCAGCAGCTCCAATACTTCCAGTTCCATCCACGATACCAGTGACAGTAGCGAGCGCTTCCTGACTCCCCCTCAGAGCTTCCTGCCTCCCCAGATCAGCAGAGATGGCTGAGCTGATCATGTTGGATGGACCCCCGATGAAGAAGCCAGTGACGGCCAACAACACTGCATTTATCACCTGGTCGTTGGGTGAGCCTGACGGAGGTGAAGACAGATACTTACTCACTGAGCCCTGAAAGGGTGTAATACTGGTGCAACATTGTCGTACAGTCAAAAACACACACAGAGCTGTTCTGCCCTGACGGCTCTGACAACGTGCATTGCTACTGTCTGCCTCTGTTATGCCCTCCAATGAGGATCAGAGGCAAAACAACTCTACCCCAACTATTACGCTCCTTAGAGTTACACATCACAGACAAGAAGTGACAGGTAGGGGCGGGAGAAAAAAATTGATTCTCATAAGTATCGCAATTTTTTGTTTTCCAATTTTTAAATAATTTTTTTGTTCAAAAATCAATTTTCTTTTCAAATTTAAGAGTAAATCTTAAAAACGGCCTTAAATGTGATGTGTATTTTTTGGAGAAACATGGTTCCTGGAATAGTCAGTAGACAATCATTCAACTGTTTCACTGGTATTAAAAATGCAGACTAAAAATTGCGAAAATCGACAATATCGTAGAATTGCAATTTAAATCGAATCGGCATCCGAAAATTTTTTTGGAAGAATCGAACTGGGAGAAAATATCATCCCATCCCTCGTGACAGGGCAGTGATTTTCCTGCCTTGTAATAGCAGTATGTACTGTCTGCATCAATTTTCAAATAATCATGGGAACTAAAACTAAAAAAGACAAATGTGAAGCTCTTATATCTTAGATGAGAGTCCAAACTCAACCTTTCTTACCACAGAGGGGAAAAATCAAAAAACATCAAATCTTTTAATTTAAGAATTTGAATTTTTAGTTCTTTGGCTTGAGTTACACCTGCAACAGTTTCACAATTATCACTTTTCTTGGCTAAAGCATTTATATGTTGATCTGTAAATCGACTTTTTCTGACAAAGCTTTACTCACGGCTGTATCCCACCAGGGCTCCCATTGCCAGTGCCAGACTTATGGCCAACACTGGCGCTCTTTTACCCATGAAGTCCGAGACCAAACCCTGGACTGTCCCACCTGTGATGAAAACACAAAATATCAAAGATACAATGAAAAAGAGTCTTCAAAATCAGACTCTGATGAGAGAAGATTTCTTTCTCTAGAATGAGGCCAACAGGCATTGTGATAAACAAGTGACAGTTGTGATCAGTATATCTACTTCTTTGATTGTATATCATCATGCATGTTTTGGATCCAAAATGCATTTATTAACCTGACTAACATTATAAGCGGTTGTGTATTTCAAGGGAATATCTTCCGTTTATCTATCTCATGTACAAAGACATGCTTTGTGTTAACTCCAGTCCAGACCTCCTCGAGGAGAGTGTGATTTTGTACCATCTCACATTTCCACGGGAGAATAAAGAGATAAAGATACAGAGAACTGAAGGTGTGCTAATTTGCCTCCCACTCACCAATGATTCCTCCAACATCATACCACACAGACAAGCGGTCAGCCTCAGCCTCCTTCCAGCCGTAGTTGTTGCTCAGGTAGAAAGGAAGCCAGAAGAAGAAGGAGTAGTTGACCAGCTTCAGACATGCATATGCCAGGGAATACTGCAGCACAAAGAGGGGCGGGGTCAGTGTTGGTTTATGTCATGTATTCTCTGGAATAACCCTTTATGAATCATTGGTTTAGACTCACAGGTAGCACTCCAGGTAGACAGAAAGCCTGACAGAATCCGATAGCTCGAGGAGGCTCGTCTACGGGTTCCTCAGGCTGCTGAACTGAGTCATACCGTGTGCCGTACACCTCAACCTCATCCTCCTCGTCGCTCATCAGAGGCCTGTGGCTGTCTGTGTCCGTCTCCACCGGGCTGAGTCCGGTCTCTGACTCCAGACTTAAACCTGTCACACACACACACACACACACATTGAAGCTATGGAGCCTAAATCAAATCAAGACTTAAGGTAATTAAACACTTAACTGTTGCATGAGACACGAGCTAAAAACAGTCCTTGTGGGAATAAGGTCAGTAAGAAGTTAACAGAATTTGTTGGTTGTTCCAGTCCTTACCAACTTCTTTAGGGGACGTGAGAAGGCCGAAGAAGACCACCACCCCACCAGCAAACTGCACCACAGAGGTCACCAGGAAGGCATACTGCACACAGCCACAGGGAGAGACATCCTTTTAGCATTCAAATGATTAAAACATTAAAAGAGAGGCCTATTATGCAGATCTGTATTTACAATAATGTTATAATGTTGGATGTCTGGACTAAACCCTGGCAGAATTTCATCACAGGGGACACACAGATAGTGGTGTAATCCCTGGGCATGTTTTCTAGCTTCATCAAACAGCTCATTTTGTGACATGGCCACAGCCTGAAGTTAAGTTGTGCCATCCTGTTGTGCCAGGACAATGTTAGAGGCTTGCCCATTAACACTGCATTACAGAGTTACACCTGATTAGACTTGGGGCAGTTTGTGGCATTCACTCATGCTGTTTCCTTCTGTCTAGATCTTTGATTTTGTTATACTTACTCTCAAATGTACAGACAGAAGTGTTTGCTGAATAACACTGTAACATTATAAAGGGTGAGCTCATCTCTATCAAAGATGCGTCCATCCAAGAAAGCTCGACAGTAAGCTTCACTGCCAGTCTATTTTTCTTTCTTCCGCACTTGGTTGATTCAGTATCTCTCCGAAAGTCTTCAAAAAACTGGCAAGTTATGTGTTTCTCCGACCAAATTAGACCATAGCTGTTTGTGCCAGTACCAGCTGGATTTGCATCTCAATTGTTACTGAAATTATATTGAGCTAATATGACAATGGCCAACTTATGCTTATGCGGCTAAATTGGGAGCTAAGTGTACAAAGTTTAATGTAAAGGCATAAAATGCTTGGTGCCAATAGTCATGAAATGAAGATTTTGTGTCCTTTGGGCAAATCCCATAAATGAGTGTTTCATACCTCATATCCATACTTGAGCACGCTTGAAGCCAGAAAGGCACCCAGGATGTTGCCTACAGATGCACAGGCGCTCCACAGGCCAAACACAAAGCCACGACTAGAAAAAAAGAGCAGTCATGATGTCAGAAAGAAAGATTTAAAACATGATTTGAGTATGTTTCTCCTACTGGCAGACAATGTGTAACTTGAATTCAATAAAAACAGCAAATACTATTTCTTTACAATCAGCAAATTCTTTTTATATGTCCTGCCTCTGAGAAAACTGAGTCTTTGTTTAGCAGCAGCAGCAGTGAATGGATATCATTTTGCAAACCTCATCATTTCCCTCTCCAAACTTGACAGAGAACAAACTTCTGCTATTTTCTGCTACACATTTCAAGGCTGCGTAGATACTGAAGTTTGGATGTGAGCACATGATTCAGCTGTAAAAGGCGTGCACTTTGTAGACAGAGAAATGTCACCTCACCCTGTTTTGCCGAACCAGTTGCCCATGACGGCCACCACGCAGGGCCAGACAGCCGACTGAAGCAGGCCATTCAGCACCCACAGGACACAGTACAGGTAGATGTTGTAGATTTTGAGCCATTCAGTCAGGGTGCCGAACACGAACTCCTGTTAACACAGTTACAGTTTAAATCCAACATATTACTTATATTCCACATGCAGCAGTATGCAAGGTCTTCATACTCACCACAGCCGCAGATCCACACAGGCCAAAACAGAGCACATAACGCAGGTTCACTCTGTCCCCTATCACACCACTCAGATACAGACCCTGTGTGGACAGTTACAGGTTAACAGTGTTACATGAAGCATCTCAATACTCAAAACTGAACTACTACGAGAGGACACCATTCTTATTCCGCATGTCTTTCCAGTCTAAATGAATTTTTCCCATCACCAAAAAACAGAAAAATCATGTTCTGCTACTTACCACTGCATATGAAAAGAGGAAGATGGAGTCCAGAGCTCCCAGGAACAAAGTGGCCTGCTTTTCATCTGCAAACAGATGATTGTCCTCCCATGTCTGGGAAAGCACAGAGACGACACAGATAATTCTATCTATGTGTACAAGAAAAGCAACATCCTGATTGCATGCTGATTAGGAGTGCCACAATTCTGCACATCCTCATTTAGATGCATAATTTTGAAGGTACTTTTTTAGACATTTTTAGCTTTTACTGGAGAGGACAACTGAACAGGGACAGGAAATAAGGGGGGCAGAGCAATGACATGCAGCAAGGGATCGAGGCTTGGAGTTGGACCAGTGACCACTGTGAGAAGGACTGTAGCCTCTGTTCATGAAGTGACATTTTAACCACAAACTGGCACCCGAGCTTATGAACAATTTCAACACTTTCTCAGCTCCGACAGCTTCACTTATAAAAACATTTACTGTACAGAAACCTTGAAGCGCCGAGACAACTATAAAAATGTTCTCAGTTTGTTCCATAAATGAGAATAAAGAGATTACACATGTTAAAACAATGCGTTGTAAATATTCTAATAAATTGAAAGCAGATGTGAAACAAGCAGCGTGGTGGGATATTCTGATCAAGTGATGAAAAGTCTAGTGGTCAACTAGTGTTCATTTTTCAAGGACTGATTCTGGGTATTAAAATGGAGGTAAGCAGATACATCATGCTGACTTCATGCTGTTATTTTATTTTGTATCAGGTTAAAGACAACAAATGAGTAAACAAATCATGCATAATTCCATAATTTTAAGCATATTACTTAAGTGAGTAACATGTTTGAAATAGATTTTCATTAAATTATAAACTAAAAAAAGTGAATCAGGTTATGCTATAGTTTTCAATCAACACTAAACTGCAATATTCTCAAGATTATGACAGAATATATATGAAACCAGTAACTGTTTCAGATTTGATCTGCTGTCGTTTGAGATAAGAAGAACTTTATTGATACCTGAAGGCAAATTCAATAGGATGAGAAACATCAGTTAGTTATTATACTTTATAGTTATCATATAACTATAGCTGTTGAATTAACTATATTTGGTACTTAAATTGTGTATATTGTATATAGTTTTATTTTCTTCTCCCTTTTTCCTTTTCTAAAATTTTTCTTAATAGTAACATTTAAGTTCTTAATATTATGATTTTTACTATTATATATTATTATTAATCAACATTTTTGCACTTACTTTGTCTGTGTTGCTGCTGTGGCAATAAAATTTCCCCCATGGGGGATCAATAAAGGTATATTCTATTCTATTCTATTCTATTCTACAGTAAAGCCACAGGACCTCTTCATTTACATTGCACAGCCTGTTTGTATACCATAAACTGTCTATCAGTTGACTCAAGGTCAGAGTGAGGCGGGCTGCCAGCAGTGTCTGCAGACATTATCTGTTTGTATTTATGATCAGCCTTGTACAACAATCAGTACAATCAACTCTACCTATTAATGGTTCTATGTTTCCCTGTTTCTTTTGCTTCTCTGTTATTTCTGGATAAAGCAGTGACCACTTTGTGATACTCTGTCTGTGAAATTATTTTTCTTCTTAAATGTAAACAAGGCAGAAATGTAGAGAAAAAAGAACAATTGATTCCCATTATAATGAAAAGCATATATACAATAACTCTCCGTTTCACCCTGAAACTGTAACACATCTTTGTGGATCAGCTCTGCTCAGTACCTCGCCTGGTGAGTAAGGGGGTGCAGAGCCATTCTGAGGGGATGGTGTCCACTGGGCTGAGATGCTCACTTTCACGTTGCTGAAGGTCTTTCTAGATGCATGCAGCAGCACATAGCTGGAGAGACACACACAAACAAACAGAATGAACCAGATATTTAATGTAAGTTAGCTACTACTTACACTTCAACAATAATTCTAGTTCTGCTCTGTCTCATCAGGTCTGTGTGAGTGCCATTTGTTCCCTAAACTGGAATTACTGAAATAGGCGTGAAAACACCTTAAACATTAAAAATCCCTGAAAAGTTCTTGTTAGTTGTCTGAAACTACAAAAGCTCACTTTAAACAAACAGAGGGGTAAACTTTCATGAAGCAGCAGTTAAATTCAACAGAAAGAATTTAGAAGAAGCACACAAACTCAAACCCCTTTTTTTGCCGAGCAGGCGTCTGGACTATGTGCAAACTACCTGCTGCAGATGGCACTTTACTTTGCTGTGATAAGAGGGTCATACTGAGGGCTGCAGACGTGTGACAATAAATCTACTGTAATTTAAGATTAACAGTTCTGAATCAAAATCACAAATACACCATGGGATTTACCAGGTAGCAATAAATATGATAAATATCAATGTTCTGCAAAATCTGCTGCGGTTTACCTATTTCTAAAAACTCTAAACTATTACAGGTTATTTTCCCCTTCTGTCTAAGACCTTTTTAATCTCTGAAGCAGGCTTCCTAAAGGAAATCACTACCTATTGTCTAAGTTATCTGGACCAGCATGTCCGACCTTGTTTAACCTCGCTCAAGAGACCTTTCACCTAATTCAACAGTTCGTCCCTTATGCATTTTTGCACTGTATGGATTTCTGTTTCAAAACGGCAGAGAAATATTTTTGAAATGTATTTTTTCTTCTTTGTTTAAACTTTCTTGAGTAAATATAGGCCACAGCTTCCTAGAAAACTCAATAACATAGCCACGAAAGTCTTGGAAAGAACAACATTACACAAAAGTAATCCCACTGGATCATTAAGAAGGAAGTTTGGGGAAGACCTTTAAGGTGGGACTGGGGTTTGGATTACCTAAAGAAGGTGAGAAGGAAGGCAACCAGGTGATGGTGGGTGTACTGTGACAGGTAGCCACAGTGCAAGGGAGGCATCACAGGGGCAGCAGGAGGGAGGAGGAGGAGGTGGATGAGGAAGAAGAAGGTGGTGGTGGTGGTGGTAGGTCAAGGAGAGGGTTCTGCTACAGACTCCCACTACACCAGACGGGACAAGCACATCACTAGGGCAATAACAGAGTAGCCTGAAAAGGAATGTGAAATTCGTGTTAATATGAGAAACTTTTCCACTTATAAAACATATTGATTTGTTTATAAGAAGACTGAACAGTTTTCAATAAACATGAATACAGATAACACACATATAAAGAGACTTAAACCACCACCACACATCCCAAAAATGAAGCTGGCAGTCTGTGATATGTGCCTTATAAAAATTCTACCATTCCTCCACCCATAACCACAGTGAGCAGCTGTTGGAGATAATTTTACCTGTTTCTCGAACCAGTCCTGGATGATTCCTGCTCTAGAACAGGGAGTATCTTGTTCAGAGTATCCATCCCCTTTGGGTAAAAACCAGTATGAATGGTTGCATTTGGTCTCAGCACTGGGTGTTTTTTGCACTTACAGGTATCAATGGGCCCAGTGTTTTACGAAATGCCACCTCCTCCAGCAGCCGTAGGTGTGCATAATTCACAGACTCAGAACGAGGGAAGCAATGACCCCTCGTTTATAGTGCTAATCCACCCAGATACCTCAACTTTTGGTGTATGCAGATACTAGTATCTATCCAATACGAGCGCAACCTAATTCTTCATGTTGTATTTCATTTCCTCTGTATGTAAGTCAGAAGTTTCTTTGGTGGGAAATCTGGCAAAGTCCTGTATTTTTTTTTTTAATGTCTTAGTTTCATTTCACAAGTTACAGCAGTCATACTTGTGAAATGAAACTAAGTTGCCCACAGGACCCACTCATAAGTTAAAAAGGAGGTTTCTTGTGTTCTTGTTGGATCCTTTTTTTGTGGTCCTTTGTGGTCACAGAGAGAAGAAGGATAAAAACCAGAAATCATCACCTACAGTATAAAGTATAAAAGTAGTCCATGTGGATAAAGAAATTTAACAATTCAGACTCTTGAGAGGAACAGTATTTTGTACTGAGGATTATGACTTTTATCTCACCACCACTTTCACTTCCTTAGGCAATCAGTTCATAAACAGTCAGTGTTTCTCAGTTTCACATGACTCTCTCTACACCCACAGCTGTTTGGTTACCAGCGGAGCAACTCTTATGTTCTTAAATCTGAGCCAAAATAAACACTGTCCTAGGATCTATTTTCCTAACACACTCACACTCGTTTGTTAAAGGTGTGGGTTATGAACACACCAAGGTAGGATGTTATCAACAGCAGGTTATAACACATGACAGGGGTTTTAGTTCGTAAAGAGACACTCTGGTTGCACATCTACATGAGTAAATCTATGTATTTAAACTCAGAGGTCTGCTGTTTGGACTCAATGTGTCTGTTAGTTTGGTTTCAAAGCCCTGCAGATACAGACACGGACAGGTGGGACTAAATAAGAGGAAAATATGTCACTCTATAGTCCAAAGAAGGCCAATAGTCAACTGTAGACTGATAATAGAGAGGATCTAGAGTCTCTTATTGTGTGCTGACATCAATGTCTACGCTTGTTCGTAAAGACCTTTTACCTACTATATAAAACACCCACATAAATACGCGGTTTGCTGGATCCGTTTCGCCAGCACATTGATATTTATAGTCATTTTAAAAGCTTTTATGACCATCTCTGCCCCAGTCTGACTAGGCTCACAGTGTCTACAAAGCCAGTTCCGGGTCATTTATACTAAATAAGTCTGCGTAAATATGACAGAGCGGGATTTTTTTGAACCCTAAATAGAGTAAGAAACAAACCAGAGCCTTTTCTTACCTTACAGCTCACGTAGTCGTTAGCAACTTCACTCCCAGTGTGGCAAACAATCTGTGTTTACTGTGAAATCCTGTGTCACGAACGTCGCTGCCCATAATAGGAGCATGGCGCTTTAGTAGCACTGCTGCCCCCTGCAGGTCAGGAGTGGAATGGTATTGTAGAGAAGAGTGACAGTAAAATGTGGGAAGGACAGTTGTTGTTTCACCTGTCACTGTGCCATCTGTTGAGTTTAGCCACTTTACCATTGGCTGCAGACAGATTGTTACATAGCTTTAACTCTTACCGCCAAAAGCACTTGAACAGTTTCCCTCCAGACACGTGCAACACGGACTTAGCAATCTTCCTCAAAACTCTGGTAAGTCTTTAAGGAAAGAGTGAGTTGATGTTGAGGTGTTTATTAGTTTGATTTGGTATTTTACTCATTGTTATTAATCTCAGTTGCCTGTGGAGATTAGCTAAATCCAAATGACAATCATCTTAAATTCAAAATCACAGGATTTCAACGTTTGAATGTAAAAGAAACATGTAGTTATGTGCCACAGGGTGCAGATGTTTGGTTGTATTTAGAGATCTGTGTGATAAATGGTTAAAGGTCAAGCAAAAACAAATGTAAATAGATTTGTGTTCATATTTGATGACTGGCAAAACATTTAATTTTTTCTAGAAAATATCTGTACCACAGTTTTTAAACCTCCCTTTCACTGTCTTACTGTACATTTACATGAGAGTTACACCATGAGGCAAGAAGAACGGGCTGGTTTTCTTCAGCCATCACTAGCTCAGTAACACTTGTGATTTGAATTCCAATGAACCTCAGATCCGGAGAGGAATAACGTGACACAATGACCTTGAGACAAAGTGCCATTACTTTCCTGCTCCTCAGAAGAATAAAAGTAATTCCAGTTAAAGTCATTCATTTTGTTGATTTGCTTGCAATGTCACTTGTCTGAGAGAGACCCGGCGGATCGCTATACGTAAAAAGAGAAAAAGACACACACACACACAGAGCAGAAGAGAGAGAGAGAGAGGGAGCAAGAGAGAGAGGAAGTCACATCCTGGGTGTGCGGGATGGAGCTTCAGTGAAAGAAGTGGATTAGGAAGAGACGGGGAGTTCGATATGAGACACTAATGTCTCTATTAACATTTACCTAAACACCCAATGACTGTTTTAAGGCTGGACTTTATTAGAATACCCGTTAAACTTGGACCCACAGCACACCCCTGTGGTTTTTAATTTACATTGATGGATACTATAGCAGCTTTGGTCGAGCTATGCACTCATTTCACCAGTGAACGCATGGAAACTGTACCACAGAAGGAGGTAAGAAACAGGTTCAATTTTGTTTGATAAACTGAATTTACTTTGTGATTTCATTGGGATCGTGATACAACACTGATGTTTTTGTTGTTGAATAAAGTCATCTCTACAAAAAACTGAAAGGAGGAGCATAAGAAGCTCTAAATTTTGAAGGTCAAGGATTCTTTATTAGTACTTCAGAAGGAAAACTGGTTGTGCAGACGGGGATTTGGAGTACAGGTTTTTAAAGTCAGTATTTTGCAAAATGAATCTGTGACTGCCTGTGCATTTTGTAATTATGTGACCCTGGATTGTTTGTTGCATTATCACACAGAAGCTTTGCATCTGGATGTTTCCGTGCTTAACAGCTATTTCTTTAAGAGCTGTGTCCTGTCCCTCTCCTGTCATTTCAACTTCCTATCAGTTAAACTAATGATGACAACCAAGCTGGGAAACTTCCAAACACTATCTTAGAGGCCAGTGAACTTAAAAACACTGGCCTCAGAAATGTGAAAGAATGAGAGTCAAGAGGAAGAGAGAGATTTAGTCACTTTGAGGGACAAAGGTTGGTCCCCCGAGTGGACAAAACAGCAGAGGAAGGAGCACACAGCGGGACACCAAAGGAACGACAAAGCAGAGGGGAGTGATTCATTCGCCCAAGAGTTCCTTAGTAGCTGTTTGGGTGTTGGTTTGTGTGATAAACTGCTGAAGAGAGTTGCACATTAGCCCCTGTACTTCATTTAGTCTGCCAAGCATTGCTCCTGAATATAAAAAACAGCCAGCTGTGATATTCAGTGGTTTTGAAAACGCCAGGTATACTGTCCGTCACAGCTAAGCCGATCTGGTAAAAATCTTACTACACATGACACAGATGTTTTCTCTTTGTCTCAGGTGTGCTGTGATAATGGAGGCCTCTGAGAGAATGACCAGGCTGGACTGTGTCTACTCCACTGTTCACAGGTTTGTACAGATTGATCTGCGCTCACTTTCTCATTGAAAATCAATATTTTCCTTTAAAATCTCCACTCAACCGGAGAAATCTGTGATAAAAATTAAGTTGCGAGTACCTCATTATATCCGTTAAAGAAAAGTCATAAAGGTCTGTTCACTCATGGTCTCCCACTTCCTCAAGTTTGTTTATTAAAAACATGACAGTTTGATGAAATGGGCTACGGTCCAAGCATGTGTTTATTTAGTGAGGCGATGAAGAGAAGATGCTCGGTCATAGGGTTGTCCTCTGGCATGTACTCACAGGATGAATTTTCCCACTGTTGCCTTAAAAAGACAGTATCCCACTTCTGGTAGTCACATGGTATTTACTGGGAAGATCTCTATAGTGTTTTTCTGAGGAATTCTCTAATGTAATGGTTCCCAACCAGTGTTATCACGAAGCCCTTACAAATAGGCCCAGAACCACAAACGGAATAGTTTATGATAACTAAAAAAAAGCCTGTCATTGTTAATAACTGGATCTAAAAGGACACATCTTATTTTGTTTTCCCAATTGACATGTCTCCATGTTACCACTTCGTGGGTGGATAATATACAAAGCTGTTCACAAATTTGTTCTTAGCATCGAGCTAATTATTTGTTTACCGAAGCTAATATTCTAGCTAATTGTTTCTACTGCTGTAGCCATTTATCCAGTAAGTACTTCAAACGTGAATATTGTACAAATAGGTATTTAAACTTTTAAGCTGTTTACTTTAGCAGTTTTTGTTTATGCATTACTTAGCCTAAGATAATTACAGAGAGTAGCCCAGGGTCTAGACCTGCACTGAGGTACTATTAGTCACCTCTGTTAGCTTGCTTGCTCACAAAAAATTCCAACACTATATTCTGATTGATGTCTTGTTTGCTTGCCAACAATGATTTTATTTTTTCATTATCAGATGTTAGTCTGTAGCTAGAGTAATGGCAGGTTAATGGCTTATCGTAGTGTCATTACATTTTTAACCTTCCTCCTGCGTTAGCTTTTACTACGCACCCACCATGTTAAGGGTCGGTTTCGACCCGTGTCTTAAATCAGCTGTAAATTACACTAATCTATCATCCAGTTTGGTTCTCATCTCTAGGTAACCTTGTACAGCTTCATTATCCGTGAAATTATTGCTTATAATATTTTGTTGTGGTCCTCTGGGCCTTCCTTTGTCAGTATACCCCTCCCACAGACATCTATACTGAATTGATCTCACATGTTTGGACATGCCTGACATTGTTTTTTGTGCAGAGAAAAAAAGGAAATAAGAGAATTTCCTAAATCTCACATGATTGGAAGAGGATCTGACTATCAGTGTGTTTCCTGACAGTGCACTTATGATTTCAGATTTTGCTCTTATTATTAGATATTGATCTAACCGGGTCAACAGCGACCCTAACACGGCAAGTGCCATAATTTTAATAAGAGCATTTTATAATTTATTCAATTTAATTTTTTTTTATTTTTATTTTGTTGAAATAGAGGTTCCTGACAAAGTCAAAAAGTCTTGATGCAAAAAAACCTTATTTAAGTGGTTCTTTAAAATAAAAAAATGGGTTGGTGCAGACACTAACACAGGAGGAGGGTTAAAACCCTAAAATTTGTACTTTTGTTTTTAGAGAACTTTTTTTGTTAACATGCTCAACTCTCAGAAGTTCCCACGTAATATTTACATTTAAATGTTTTTTCTTTTTTGCACTTATTTGATTTTCATGTGTATATTGATGCAAAACTAAGACTTTTTTCTCATTGTTTTTAGGCTACAGAAAAGTTGTCTTCTTGAGACAGGTCAACACCACATTGCTTCAGCAGAAAAAAAGTTCACTGAGCAAAAAAAAGAGGGGACACCAAAGCTGCCCTTCACTCCTTTAGAGAACTTGTGCTCTTGGGGGAAAGACTCACCCATAATGGCTCACAGGAGGCCGATGCTTGACCCTCAGAACAAAGACACCACTCTCTTGGCTGGCAACAAGCTCCCCAGAGCCAATGGATGCAACATTAAGGACAAGATTTCTCTGTGGGAAGGGAAGGAACCCACCCACTCAACCACTACCTCCGGCTCTTTGAGTCAGTGTGCCAGCGTAAAAAGGACAGAATCACTCACAAAAAGCAAGTCCTCTGATGTGCAGATCGCAGGGAGGGATGACAGAGTTGTAAATGAGGAGAAGGAAAAAAGTGGGAAAGAGAGCTCTGGAAAACTTCTGGATTCAAGGCCCTGTTCACCTTTAGAAAATGGGAAACAGCAACGAGGCATGCTTAAAAGCAACAAACCAAATGAGATCCAAAAAGTGGAGGACGGTGGCAGAGCTGGCTTCAAAGAAACACAAGATCATGGAAAGGAAAATGAGGAAAGGCCTGGGCATCCAAGGCCTTGTTCGCCTACAATTACAGTGCAGCAGCAGGTGGGGACACTGAAGAAAAGCAATGAAAGGAGAAAAGGGGAACAAAACAGCCAGGAGAAGAGAGATGTATTCAGTCTTTTTAAAAAGCTGGAGGCTTTGGGGGAGAACCACGGGAAAACCCCCCCAGAGCTCGGCAACTACTTCAGCCCACCGTGTAAGGACAAACAGGTAGAGGTCAAGAAAGTACCTGAGGGTAAAGGTCAGACCAATGCAGGGGAATCCATTGGTGCTACACAAGTGAAACAGAACCAAGAAAATGTCTACACAGAGCCAGGCACATTACCCATCAACCCAGTCCCCAAACCCAGACGTACTTTTCAGCATCCAGCTAATTCCCCCACAAAAAAGCAACAAAGACAGGGTACAGGGCAGAGGAACCTCCCCCCACTGCCCTCCAGCTCTGTGAGAAGTCTCCCAAAACCTGTTTCTGGTGTTTATGGAAGACAAAGGGGTGAAAGAACCAGAGATAACATCATTAGGTAAGAATGGAAAGACTTTTGTTTATCCAAACCTTAACCCTCTACAGTAATTGTTAGAAAAACATGTTACACTTTTCCCTCTACCATGCCAGGAAATCCTCGGAATTTGAAGACCTTGCAGGGTCAACCAGCCAGCTCTTGCCTCGCTCGCTGTCTCAGGAACATCACTATGAAGACATCTTAGGTTAGAACCCTCTCTTACCATCCTTTGTTAAGAAATAGTTAAAATTTGGTCTATACACTTTGGCTATGATTTTAACAGGAAGTAGAATATTACTGTTGTGTTGTTCTGGTAAATGAAATAAGTCAGTGGCCACATCATAAACTGTATAAAGAATGGATGCTGTCTGCCTCCCGTGAGAACAGCCCCCTCTGGTGATGGGCTGCAGTATAGGTCATAAATCCCGCCTCCTCCAGCAATCCCTATGAAGCTGTGGACAAACTTTAGAAATTTATTACACAGAACATAAATTATTTCCCCCCTGCTTGCAATGTTGACATGTAGTTACTGCAAGACTGGTTTGTGCTCAAGTCCTCTTTTTTCTGTTTCGCATCATTTTTAAAAGTTATTACAGGGTTCGTGTTTTATATGATTGACACTTGATACAGCCTTAAAAGTTACCGAATGCGCACAACCCTACTGCACAATGTTGGTTTTCAGGAAGTGGAGAAAAAACACAGAATTACTGAGAGCTTTTCGGCTTCAAATCCGTATACTGGCGGAACCAAGTTGTCTAGTTTATACAGTCTATGGGCCACATACCTTAGCTCAGCTTAGATTGACATAAAGGTTGGAAACAGAGGTAAAGATCATCAGGCCAGGTTTTAATTATTTTATTATCTAATTATAGGGTTTAATTATGCTATAGGCTAGGCTAACTTACAGATTGGATAATCAGCGTGCTACCTCTTAAATACAATGTTGTTTATATGATTTTCACAACATCGTGTCCTCTCACAGCAGTAATCCAAAATCAAGTTGAAATTTGCAGATTTAAAAATATTCATAGCAACTTCTTACAAAATAAATATTTCTTGAACCCGGAGGCTTTGTGGTTTTATATTTATAGAAACAGGAAGAATTCTTATGACTAATGGTTAAAAGTTGCCCTCTGTGGTCTCCCTACAGACTCATCCAAAGAGAACCCATATGAGGACATAGAGCTGGAGAGCCAGTGTTCCCAGCAGTCCTTGCCCTCCTCTCCTGGAGCCGATACTGCCAAGGTTCCTTCTGTTTAAGCCAAGCATAACACCTCACAGAAACGACATTTCTTATTTGAACGGTAATAGAAAAATCAATCACCCTGTCTACAGATCTTGCGGCCTGGTTTCTTCAGGCAGAATTCAAACAGAAGCTTTAAACTTCTGGACCTGAGAAGACCCTACCAGCCGACCCATAGCACCAGCAGTGGAGGCATCCCATCTCCACCCCAGACCAGCCCTCCCTCCACTCCCACTGGGCCTGAGAACACCTCATGGCTGCCCGGGGATCCATACAGCCGTACCTGTCGCAGGATACCAACAGTTTGTTCAAGCGTTTTTTTTACAGAAATATTTCCATAAAGTCATTCTGATTAAATTCTTCTCTCTGACTGAAAGCTCTTGCTTGACAGGTTGTTCTCAGAATAAACGGCATCTTTGAGTCTCGGATCGGGAAGAAGCATCTACGAAGGATCTCCCATTATGCCGAGACAAGCTCAGGAAGAGGTGATGTAAAAACATGACTTGATTTCTTACCAAACCTCATAATGACATGTAAGTTTGATTAAAGTTTGAGTTGTGGCTGAATAGACGTGACTTTTGTTTGCAGTAACAGATGACAACAGTGACTCTGAGAGTGAAATTGAGGAGAGAGCAAAAGGTAAAATACCTTAGATTACCTCATTTCCTGTTGAACTTTGTAGTTACTGACATCTATAATCTTTTCAATGATACTGACTCTTACTTTCCCATTCCTATAGCATCTCGTCAGCGTCTCGTGTCAGTCAAGTCCATTCTGAGCAAGCCAAACCAGGCCAAAGTCCACTACAACGGTACCAGTGGCTCCCAGGAAAAACAGGAGCTTCACCAGCGTCAGCTCTTTGAATATTTTCTGGTTGTGTCACTGCAGAAGTCAAAGGGGGGAGCCCACTATCTGCCTGAAGTTACACAGCAATTCCCCCCGAAGGTCAGGAGCAGAGGAGTTCTTTAACATTTACCTTTAATTGTGAAATGCTGTTTTAAAGAGACAATGCACTGACTAATCAACCTAACTAGTACCAGAAATTTTCATTTAATAACCTAGCTTTAAAAAAATGGTTGGAAACTGCAAAATTTGTACAAATCTTACAGAGACAACTGCAAATTTTATGTAAAGTGTAAGGACAATTTTTGCACAACTGTACCTCCATCTGCAGGGCTCCTCAGGGCTTCTGGCACCTGTTCTGTTCTCTTTACATAATCTGGGTTCCCTTGTAACAGAACCCAACTTCTCATTTCACCTCTTTGCAGGTGGTACTCAAATAAGGGCCTGTGTCCACTGATGACATCTTTTGTGATAGCGTTACCTATTTTCTACATAAATCCAATGCTGATGAAAGTTTCCAGAGTTTAAAATGCTAAGCACAATTTATCCTTGGCATCAGCTGTTTTTTTTGTGCCTGAGCTTACAGTACTATCAGTTGAAAGTGGTTTAACTTTAAAATTGCTGTTGATGTCTTTGCTCCATGATTAACCAGTCAAAAACAAAAAAGGGTGAGACTTCTGGTGCCAGTGTTGTCAGACTTGATGATGAGGGTCTGTATGTTGGACAAACCAACCATTCTCAATTTTTTAGGGTTCTTCATCAAGGTCCAGACTTGCTTTAAATGCCATGATATGGTTTGTTTTTAAAAAGTGTATTTACATTTTCTGATAAACAGCAAGAATGAAACAAACTTAATGGTCACTAACAAGGGATTTGGAGGTGTTACCAGGAAACTTTTATAGCACAACACCAGTAAGAGATAATCTCAGAAATTGAAGATATGGGTACTGCCAGCACAGAAAATTGGCATTGGTGGACACAGGCCCTTAATTTTCTGCCATAATGCTACAGGCCTTAGTTGTGTTAGAGTTATATCAAAGACAGTTTAGTTCACTGGTGTTTGTCAGCTCATGCTGTTCTTCATGCACAATAGAAATAAGATATTTTGACTAATGCTGAAATTTTAAAAGACAGAAAAAAAAAATCCTGATAATGTCATCAATTTAAGGATTATTACCAACGACTATAATGTCAGGTTATCTTCAGTGCTTCACCTCTCTCTCTTTTGTGAATTCATGAGCAGAATTTTGTCAGTCTTTATTCAGATTTCACAGCTCCTACTTATTGATGAGGACATTGAAGTTTGATCTGAGTGATTACGGAGAAAAGTTTGTAAGATTAGCTTGATTGTGCCTCTTTGACTCTGTTGCAGCTGGAGCGGAGCTTCAAGTTCATGAGGGAGACGGAGGATCAGCTGAGGATCATTCCTCAGTTCTGCTTCCCTGATGCTAAAAGCTGGGAGCCTGTGGAAAACTTCCCAAGGTAAGATCCATGATCTAAATAAACTCATTGTTTTTCAATAAAATATACTGATGACGTGTTTATTTCTGTATATGTCGTGGCTCTTCTCTCACAGTGAGATGTTCTCCTTTGTTTTGACTGGTGAGGATGGGAGCAGAAGGTTTGGATACTGCCGACGTTTACTGGTAAATAGAAATATGTCAGATTAATAAGGCTACTGGACAGGAAGTGCATGAATACCATGATGACGGCTGAGAAAATAACCATACCAAAATAATCTGCGTGCCTGTGGGAATAGAGTCCATCTCAGAGTCTGGGAGGAAGTGTGTGCGACTGGAAAAGAGTGTGTTTGTGTGTCTTTGCTTATGTTTCCATGTATTTTATAGACTGTGTTTATTTCAGCACTCTATACTCGTAAATTAAAGGGTTTTCTCTTTAGATTACGAAACAGTAGAAGTATTTCTAAGCACAGACTTTATGATTTCTGTCGAAGAAAAAACAATTCGTGACACTGACTCAGACACATCTTCATTTGTAATGTACCATTTTGCTTCTTTAATCGCTAACACTTTGAGCTTTGACTGTCACTCTTTCTTTACAGCCAAGTGGAAAAGGCAAACGTCTACCGGAAGTCTACTGTATTGTTAGTCACCTTGGCTGTTTCAACCTTTTTTCCAAGGTAAATTCCTCCTACTGATCCCCTATAACTCTTAAAAGTAAACTCAGCCAACTCACAGGGTGTAAATGTGTGTATTGAAGGTTCTGGATGAAGTGGAGAGAAGGAGGGCCTTATCTCCGGCTCTAGTGCAGCCTTTCATGAGAGCCATCATGGAGGCCCAGTTTCCTGCTCCAGGGAGAACCATCACGGTTAAAACGTTTCTCCCGGGATCAGGCACTGAGGTCAGTGTCATATTGACCTTACAGTTGCATGAAAAAATCCTTAAAGGGAGATGGTGGTGAGATGACATACAAATTAAAATTAATGTTACTTATGAGCTCTTTCTAACATTTTAACAGCTTTGACATCTTTCTTCACAGGGTTAAAAATGTGATCTTGATTTTAAAAAGTCCCACAGACCCTCTGAAAGCATAAAGTCGTCTAAAGCCTTAAAATCTCAAGCTTAAGTTTGATGCGGTGGATTTATTCCCAGGTTATGGAGCTTTGTCGACCCTCTGACTCTCGCCTGGAGCATGTGGATTTTGAGTGCCTCTTCTCCTGTCTGAGTCTGCGGCTGCTCCTCCGGGTGTTTGGTTCTCTGCTGCTTGAGCGAAGGGTCATCTTCACTGCTGACAAACTCAGGTTGGTCCCCTTAGCTGAACCATATATTCGCAGGCTTATACATCTTACAGGAATCTATATCCCCTTTGTAACATACAAAAATGTCGCAGACACTCTCTGTTGCTGTTTATGGATCGATGAAGTCAGGGGAAATTAAGTGCAAGCATGAATTTTTTTTTATTAAGATGCCATAAAGCTATGGGTGGTCCAGATTCACAGTCTTATTTTTAGACAAATTCAAGGAAGCCCTAGTTTTGTTTAAGAAACATACCAGAGAGATATTTTGAGACTTGTTTTTGGGGATGTTGTTGAGCTGGGGCCAGTTTGTTTGTTCTGCAGGACAAATCCAGTGGGAGTCAGAGTGAACGGTCACAGTAGTAAAAGGCTGGAATGCCAAGTAGAGTGACGTAAATGCTCTCTTCTCTGGGAAATGATGCTCCTGGGTGTATTGACTCTGGATACACTCTTAATTTGAACCCTCACAGCACCCCCATGTGGTGAAAAAGAGATCGTAACTGTATTTTTTTCTTCTCTTTTCTCAACTGTCCTCTCTTTAGCATTCAGACTGATTGTAATAGAAACATTAAAATCTTGTTTGATTTCATCTGAATTCTAATAACATCCGATTACTGTGCCATTCCTATTTTTTCCGAATCTCTCTTGCAGTACCCTCTCCCAGTGCTGCCATGCCGTTGTGGCCCTGCTCTACCCTTTCGTCTGGCAGCACACCTACATCCCAGTGCTGCCCTCAGCCATGCTCGACATCGTCTGCACTCCAACTCCGTTCATAGTCGGCCTGCTGTCCAGTTCCCTGCCCCAGCTTACAGAGCTGCCACTGGAGGAGGTCAGAGAAGCGCTACATTCATACTGGAAGAAATTTGGAAAACATATTTAGTACTAACAACTAATGTGTAATCATTAACTTTGACTCTCTGTACACAGGTACTTGTGGTGGATCTTGGGAATAGTAAATTTCTCAGACAGGTGAGGCCTGTGTTTGATCATTTTTTCTGCTGTTTTCCTTCTCTGGTTACTCAGAACTGTACGCGTATAAAAGGATTTCACACATTTCTACACACTTTCATCCTGGTTTATCACACATAGTTGGACGATGAGGACTCCATCCTGCCCTCTAAGCTTCAAACAGCCCTGGAGAATATTCTAGAAAGAAGAAGAGAGCTTGCCAGTGAGAGAGGAGGAGAAACACCCAGTGGTGAGCTGTACTCGGTAGTCTCTGTGGGAGGTTGCAGTGTTATGATACAGCAAGTTTACACAAAGTTAAAGAATCCTAGACACCTTTCTGCTTGTTTGCAGTTTTGGCCAGTCGCTGCATTGGACTAATCACCTATTTAACCTTTAGAAGTTAGCATGTACATCTCCAGTCAAAGTAATTTCTGCAATATGGTATATCACTGTCAATATCAATGTCAATGTCAGTGTCAGCTTTATGGCCTGTCAAAGTGCTTTACAGTAAAGATAGGCAGAAACAAGTGACCCTGGCCCAACTTCAATATCCCCACCCCTCTGACCTGTGGCTCCTTACTCTCTTGACTTTGTTCCCTGCTTTATCCACTGTGTGATCTCCCTAAAAATGAAAGCATAAGAGCCCCAAAATATATCATTGTTGGCATTTTCACTAAATAATGGATGTTGCAGGGGTGGGCAATCATGTGCCATGGAGGGCCGAGAGGCTCCAGGTTTTCTTTCCAACCCAAAACTCCACCAGGTGATTTCACTGATTACCTTACCTCCAAGCAGAGATCAGGGACTAATCAGTGAAATCACCTGGTGGAGTTTTGGGTTGGAAAGAAAACCTGGAGCCTCTCAGCCCTCCATGGCACATGATTGCCCACCCCTGGGATGTAGAGATGTTAGCTCACTCAGTGTTTGTTTCTGTCACTCTTAGATGATGTGTTTCTCTAATTAAATAAAAGTTTTATTGCTTTGCAAATTGTATGAGAACTTAAAAAAAAAAAAACATCTTGCAAAATCTGCCATTTTAGGTCACATCAAACACAGAGTGCACCTGTAAAACCCTGAAGTGACTGACTAAAGTATTTTCACATGTTATGTTATGTCTTTTCCTGTTTCAACAGATTCTGGCCATCTGAGCACTGTTGTGTCTGAGGCCTTTGTTCGTTTCTTTGTGGAGCTGGTAGGCCACTATCCACTCTTCATTGTTGGTGAACGGGAAGACGGCTACTCCTCCTCATCCTCCTCCCCAGTCCCCTGCTTCTTCCAGCGTGAGGGTTTTCGAAAGGCCATCCCGTCAAAGACAATACGGCGCTTCCTGGAGGTCTTCATGGAGACCCAGATGTTTGGCTGGTTCATTCAGGAGAGAGAGCTCCACAGGCAGGCTCTTAAAGGTAAAAAAAAAAAATCCTGTTCAGATATTTCTTTACCTTTTGAGAGCTGGTCCTATGATTCACGAGACTTCCTCTTACCTCAGGGCTGTTTGAAGTGAGGGTGCAGGAGTATCTGGACTCCATCCACGAGAATGAACACAGGAGGGTAAACAGGTTTCTCAAAGGCCTGGGTAGGGTAGTTTTTGAGTTATTTCCAGCCAAGATCTGTTCATTATTTGTGAAAAACGAGCTCCCTTCAAACAATCTCACCTTAAACCACTGTTTTTTTTTTTTCTTCGACCAGGAAACAGGATGAAATTTCTCTCCAAGAAGTAACTCCAGTATTTTTGCTTGGAACGAGACACAAGAAGAAAAAGAAGAAGCACTGAAACCAGAAATAACCAGATGGATGCAGAAATCTGGTTTATAAAATAACCAATTAAACCTGTTAATGAATGCATTCACTGTCTCTGTGTATGGAGGTTCTGCTTATGGACTTATGACAGATACACAATGGCTGTGATGGGCCTGGATGAGCTATTTAAAGAGTACATACCTTGAGTAATAATTGTCAAAAAGCATGATGTAAAACAGTTTAACTATGTTACTCTAAGCTGTGTAAGAGGGAGAATTAGAAAAAAGGACTTGAATATGATGACTGAATAATGTAAATATCTTTATATAGATTAAAGAGGGTTACAGTGCTTGTGCAGTGAACACTTTTGTAAATGGAAATTCATATTTATGTAGAGCATCCTGAGATAACATCTATAGTGAATTAGTGGTATATTGATAAAATAAATCGAATTGAATCTACCACTACCCCCTTAATCCACTAGGGGGCAGTAGTACTTCTTTTCTGATTAGATGTTCATAGTCACACTGAACAAAAACGGCTCACCACCCTCTTCAGGGTTTTTGAATTTTCATACCGTTGTAACATTTAAAAATCTCAAAGTGAATTAAAAAATAATAATAAAGATTAAAGATTCTCAGCTGTTGTTTAAAGGCTGTTTTATTGTCTTAATTTTGCTTTACTCGGTTAAAATGATTAAAATGTATGTCATATCCTTATAAGAGATTGCACCACATTTCAAAACTCTGCATGCAGGGGAGTGTCCAAAGAGGTGGCCAGAGGTGACACTGGCCCCATTTTGGAATCTGATTGGTTGACCAAGATGACCATATAAAATACTAAGCTATGACTGGTTAGCTGTAAGCTTTGCCAGATGCAGGGCGTGTGTTGAAATGAACTTTTTGGAAATGGGAACAGGTAAACATTAGATTTTTTGTGCTGTATTTACACGCTGTGGTGTCAAAAAATATGCATAAGAATATAACTGCTGTATGGTACTTAAACAAGGGTTAATGCTATGAAATAATGGTAGTGCACACACTGCAGGTGGGTCACTTGATTTTTGAAAACTTCCTATTCCTTTGCTTTTCAGTTTATGGATTATGTTGATAAATTTACATTAAACCACAGCGTAGCAAATGATTCATATGACTGCTTTAAAGGACTGGAAATCCTTAAAATGTCTCACTCAGCATTACTGCTCCAGGTCCACACTGTGAGTAATCCACAAACCACTGCTTTCTTGGTATGTTCATGTTGTTTGACCTGACAAAGAGCCCTGGTGCAGAGTTAGCAGCAGCTTTTCTTTTTCAATTCTGAGTCATGGAAACAGCTGATCTTCGGCCCGAAAAGAGGAAAGCACATCTTTGTTAGCATGAAAGCAAAACACGTGTGACCTGTCTCAGAAAACGTCATCCAAAAAGAAGCACCTGGTTAAAATGCAAAAAAGACGTTTACTAGTTACTGAATACACTGAGAGTGGCTATTGTTGTCACACGGCACTTGGGGATCAGAGAAACTCTTATGTGTGTCTCACTTTCCCTTACTGTTTACTTGAGGGTGCTAATGAGCTGTGATCTGTATGGCCCACTGATGCCACTGGTTAAAAACCATTCAGGAGTCTCAGCAGAAAAGATACCCATAGACTGCGTGTTTGAAACATGGGTGTAGCCTCAGTGATGTCACCTATTGGTTCCTGAAGCAAAGTTTTGAAGCCCGGTGATGACAGTCGCCATCATGGAAATGCTGGGTCAGTCTGACTTTTGGTCAACTTGGCAGGAGGCAGAGAAACATAGTTGAGGCAAACAGTCACAATGCCTTTAGGTCTAGTCATCCGAGCCTCTAATAATGCCAAACTCATAACCTTGATATCTTCAAAATGAATACTGTAAAACCTAAATTAGTAGTCCTGGCTTTCCTTTGTTTGTGTTAGTAAGAGACAGGCCTTTTGTTATTTTTTAATTTACTCTTCCACAACCAAAAAATAAACAAAATCTAAAGAAAACAAATTAAACAACCTTACTGATTATCTCTTTAGTGGTTGTAGACAAGAAATCTATTCAGCCGTCTAACAACATTGGCATTATTGGGTTGGCCTTGGCTTTAGGAGTCTGCCTCGAGTGGACACTCCAGGAACTGCAGCTTTTAGCACACTCACATTGACCTCACTTTTAACACCAGGGGCTCTATTTTGGTGCCTCGTCGGAGATCTGCCGCAAGCGCAGCGTCAATCAGATCCGCCGCGCTGACAAGGCGTTCCCAAGCACATTTTGGTATTTTGGTGAGCCGCGCAGCCCGGCGTAAGTATCCCCCCTCCCTAACTCAGCTCCTCCCAGCACCATTAGTCGGAGAAAGGGCGTGTAGTGATTTTAACAAAGCCGAGACCTGTTTTCACCAATCACATAAGCTCCTCTCCTTGCCTTTAAATCCGCCACCGGCGAGGCGTATTACTATTTTCATGAAGTAGTCAAAGAGATCAAGAGATGTCTTAAGACAGTAATGCCACAAGATGGCGACAGAGGGCAGCTCCTCAACAAGTGTCCTCCACACTCTCTCATATGAGCACAGATGGATTTAGTGTGCGTAATGTTGGTCCCACTGGTAAGACAAACACCCTTTTCCACAAATAAAGACACTCACATAAAGTTGCTCATATTCAAACCTCACGTGACAAAGGTGGGTTTAGCGCACAGATCACAACATAAACTCCAAAAATGGCATTAAAATTGGAACCATCTGTGCGTAAATGACGCATCGCGCTCCGTGGCCTGGCTCTTTCTTTCATAGATGTTGGCATATAAAATAAATTTGGCTCACAAAACTGAATATTATAATATCCGTATGTCGGCTTAAAGTAGATCACGCATCTGAGCACTGAAACAAATCATCTGTTCAGTCGCAGCAGCAGCAAGACGGACAGAGGACACGGAGACATGTCCAGGTCGAGCTGCGCGAGAAATAAGAGGAAGAGGAAGAAAGAAAAGGAGGGAGACGAATTACATATCTTGTTAACTTCATCATGTGTGTTTATTTACTAGATATTTAATTTAATTTGATGCGGTTTCAGCTGTGTTGATTCGGTCAGGTTGTGTGTCCAAACGCGTGCCAAACGCGCTCATCAGATCAGATATAGATCAGAATATATCTATATAGATCTAAATATATGTGCTGACTCAGATTAACAGTTGATGATGATTACTTATTGCACTGAAATGTGCCTGACACTGTGGAAACCTGCCGGTGAGGCATCAGTGACGTATGTCGATACGCCGCCGGTCTACCAAAATACTACTAGACCAGCTGCGTTCCGCCTTGCGCTGAAAGCTGACCAGGTTTGAATCGGCGAGCTTTCAGCGCACTTTACACGCCGTTGGCGAGCACGAAAATGTCACTGCGCCAGCTGATTCTGTCAACACCTCCCCCTGCCACACCACCACGCCCAGCTTGGCGGATCTCGGCTCGCCTCCGTGCGGCTCATGCCACGAAAATACCAAATTGGCCTTACGCTGGGCTCCGCCAGACGAAAATACAACTGCGCGGGGCTCGCCGCCCTCCGCCGCCTCACCGGCGCGAACGAAAATAGAGCCCCAGAGGTTGCTGCTTGGTCACAACACTGAGACAACACACCCTCTGCTACTGTTAGTTGTCAGTGTTGCATGAGAACCAAGAGAAGGTTTGTAATGACAGCCTGAACACCTATGTGATACCAAATAAATATTTTTGCTGTTTTTGTGCATTTTTATGGACTCAAGTATCCCAGTTTTGAACAAGCTTTTTTTCTATATATATATATATATCCCCTTTTTGTCTGTGTATGCAAACATCATATCCTAATTTGAGAAAAGCTCTTATTTTGCTTTTAAAAGATCTGTTTTTGCACCTCATAGAACTCAGACATAAACAAACATGGCAGCAGCAATAAGAGCTACACAAAAACAAAGTTCTCTCTTTGGGCTATGAAAGACTTAAACATCATTTAAAGTTTAGATGGGAGAAAACATGGACATGAACTTTTCAAGTCAGCAATGAAAAGCTGAAGGATGCCAGTTTCCAGACACACAGGGAACAGCAAGACCAGTCAAGTTAGGATAAGCTATTAGTGCAGTGGTCTCATTTTTCTCAAATGACAAAATTTTTGCAGCTCATGTTTTAGAAAGTTAACATCATTGGTGCCTGTGCAAATAATATATAGTAACCAGAAAACAGGATACGCAAGTCCATGTAACTGCATCCAATCACTTTTCATTTGCTCCAAGGACCCTGAGGTTGAGGATCGCCATCTTAAAGTACCGCATGAAGTACATGAAGTCCAAAAGCGTTGGATATCTTAAGAGTCATACCTTAATATCTTGATGACATGGTTTGTTTAAAAAAAGGTAATAGCTCAATTGACAGCTATGAGAGTTGATCACTATTGGTTACTAAAAAAAAATGGAAAAGTTGTTGGAAAAACTTTTACAGTATTTAAATGAGTTAATAGTTGGAAACAGAAAACTGTTTTCTGAAATTGCTAAAATAAACAGCTTAACCCTCCTCCTGTGTTACGGTCTGCACCAACCCGTTTTTGTTTTTAAATGCTTAAAAGAACCACATGAATTAATTTATTTGCATCAAGACTTTTTGACTTTGTCGGGAACCTCTATTACAACAAAATTATTAAAATTATGGCACTTGTTGTGTTAGGGTTGCTGTTGACCCGGTTAGATCAATATCGAATAATTAGAGCAAAAACTGAAATCACAAGTGCACTGTCAGGCACCACACTGACAGTCAGATCCTCTTCCAATCATGTGAGATTTAGGAAATTCTCATTTTTCCATGTATTTCCCTGCACCAAAACAACTTTGGGCATGTCCAGACATGTTAGATCAATTCAGGATAGATGTTTGTGGGAGGGGTTTACTGACTACGAAAGGCCCTGAGGACCACTACAAAAACTATTATAAGCAATATTTTCATGGATAATGAAGCCTAACAAGGT